ACTGTAAAATGGGAATAAGAATATCAATCTTGTGAGATTTAGAGCATATACAGTAAAACCTATGAAAGGCAGAAACCTGTCAGAGAAGGAAAACTAAAATATTTTCCACTAATATAAAGCAATAGAAAAGTGGTGACTGCACCTTGTCAAAGGTGGAAAACTTGCGAGACCCGGAAAAACAAAGTAGTCCCATCTGGTTCCGGCTGTCAGAGATTTCAGTGCACGTGGTAGGTCCTGAGTGGGTCCCCCTTCCTCCCACCACTTGCTGTGAGTAGATGAGATGCAGAAGCCTAAGGCCTGTCCCCTGCTTTTGGAGGGGTTCCTGCTTGGACTGGGAAGACAGTGGCTAAGTGTATCCTGGAGGGGGTTTGGAGACCGCCAGGAAGTTGCTGTGTGACCCTGATGACGTTCCTTCCTTTCCAGGAGCTTTGTTTTCTCCATCTGTAAGGTCTCAGGCCTGGTCCAGGTGAGGCTGTCCTGCTGGCCCAGCCCCTTGGCCCCCTGGGGACACGGCAGCTTCAGGCAAGCGCCTCTGTTCCCTTTATCGTCTGCCTGCTGAGCATCGCCCGCCCTGGCTGCCTACCTGTCCACACCTTAGAGATGACTCCCTCCCTGCCCGCTCCCCCCAGGTCTTAGGAAGCCACAGCCCTCCAGGGCTTCTCGACTCCCCACGTTGGATCTGTCAGCAGATCCTGACAGATGCAGCATGGCACCCCTTCTCGCCATCTCCACCGCCTCCCCGCCCCAGCCCGCTGCACCGCCCGCCTGAGTGTTGCAGTTGTGGCTGGCTGGTCTCCGCCTCCACCTTTATCCCTACAGTCTTTTCTCTCCACACAGCCGCTATGATCCTTTCCAAACTTAAGTCAGATCAAGTCACTCACTGCTCTGAAGCCTGCAGTGGCTCCCAAACTCACTCAGTGAAGTTCAAGTCCTCACCCTAACTGTCCAGCCCCTCGGGGCCAGCCACGTTGGCCTGCATGATGCTCTCAAACACACTGAGCTTATTTGTACCCCAGGGCCTTTGCACTTGTGGCCCCTTGTGCCTGGAACATTGTCTCTCAGATATCCTCATGGTTCCAGTGCCTCACTTGAGTTGGGCATCTGCTCAAAGGTCACTTCATCACAGGCTGTCCCTCGCCACCTGGCCCCTCCCCTTGCAACACCATATCATTCATGACACTCGTCATGACTTATGTACATATTTGTCTCCCTCTGTGAGAACAGAGGCCTTCCTCAGCCTCAGCATGGACCTGACCCACACTGGGTGCTTAGTAAACATGGTTGAATGAATCAATAACTGCATGTCATGCCCCAATTTTTTGGCCCCTGCGATGGGGCCTCCCTAGAAGCTTAGGCTGTGTCCAAGGGGGGTGAGGGGGCCACTGAAGTGACCCTTGTGCTGTAGGGCGGGGGCAGATGGGAGGGGGCAGGACCAGGAGGAGAGGGCCGTGGCCCATGGAGTCAGATCTCATCACACCTCTGCCCACCTGCCCCTGTGGCTTCCCACTGCACTTAAACTCAAGGTCCCCACCACAGCCCCCCCGGGCCCTACGTGGCCCTGTCCCCCCTCCCCCATGCCTCTCCAGCCCCAGTTCCCTAGGTCACTGCTACAGCCATTCCTTCCTGTCCCTGCCATGCAAAACCTATTCCCACCTCCAGTCTTTGCACTTTCTGTTCCTCTGCCTGGAACTTGCTTCCCTCCGATTTTTGCACAGCTGGCTCCTCCCCGTCTCAGTTCAAAGGGTGCCTTCCCTGACCACCGTGGCCTCCCTCACAGCGTTTCACAGTGTCTGTCATCGCCGTAATTGTCTGCTTCACGTGTTTAATGTCAGCCTAGCATCTTTGGGTGCTTACTACGTGCTGTGTGCTGTTCACAGTTTAGGTGTCTTGTTACCCCCACTTTAGAGATGAGGAAACTGAGGCTCAGAGAGGTTAAGTCACTTGCCCAAGGTCCACCAGCTGGTCAAGCAACCAAGCTGAGATTCAGCCAGCCCAGGTGATCTGACCCCAAGCCCAGGCTCCTGCCCGCCTCACTGCTGCCCCCTAGATCGCCAGCTCCCCCACAGCAGGGTCTCCTCAGTCTAAGTTACTGCCCAGCCAGGCCAGTGCCAGACGCTGAGAAGCCTTTGACCTGTGATGAATGCCTGCCCAAGGCTCCTATCCCCTGGAGCCTGGGGTGGAGGGGACGGTGTGGGGGGAAAAGGGGGCAGCAGAAGTGGCAGCACCAGCAGTGGGAGCTGGAGCGAAGCTGCCTCCTCCCTCGCAGCCCCTGGGACCCCGCCATCTGGTCCGTCCGAGGATGTTTTCATCTTGCTCTGTTTCTAGCACTTTCCTCTTAGCCTCTCCAAGACCTCTCTGCTTCTCTCCCCCAAGAAGGCCCAGACGTTAATGGCTCCTCCTCTGCTGTCCCCAAGGCCCGAACTTCCGCCCACTGCCTCCCTCCCACGCTGGCCTCCTCCTGGCCTTTTCTGTTTTAGAAGGAGAGTCCATCTCGTGGCAGTGGCGTCTCTGCTATTCCCGGGGAACATGTGTCTGTTCAGGAAGTATAGCTCACCAGGGGCCTTCCTGGTAGTGTTCTTTCTTTCCTAGGGCTGTCAGGAGAAGGAAAGTAACCCCTCCTAAGCTCCTATTGGAGCCCTGGTGGCACAGTGGTTACGAGCTCGGCTGCTAACCGAAAGGCTGGCAGTTCAAACCCACCTCAGGAGAAAGATGTGGCAGTCTGCTTCCGTAAAGATTTACAGCCTTGGAAACCCTATGGGGCAGTTCTACTCTGTCCTGTAAGGTTGCTATGGGTCGGAGTCCACTTGATGGCAGGGGTTTGGTTTGGTTAAGGTCCTGCTGGGGCCAATGGTGGTTCAGTGGTAGAATTCTTATCTTCCATGCAGGAGACCTGGGTTCGACTGCCAGTCAACGCCGCTCATGTGCAGCTACCCCCCATCTGTCAGCGGAGGTTTGCGTGTTGCTATGATGCTAAACATGTGTCAGTGGAGCTTCCAGACTAAGACAGACTAGGAAGAAGGGCCTGGTGATCTACTTCCAAAAATCAGCCAGTGAAAACCCTATGGATCACAGTAGTCTGATTCACAACTAATCGTGGGGATGGCGTCATGAGTCAGGGGCCGACTAAGAGCAACAAGCTCCTACTGTGCACTGCTCTGCTGTGGGGTTTTTTCTGTTTGCCATTGAGTCAGCTTTGATTCATGGTGACCCCATGTGTGTCAGAGTAGTTCTTTCAGAAAAGAATTGTGAGCCAATCCTCCCATTAAACGTAGACTTACTGATTTCGTATGTATTACTACTGTACCAGTATATTCCGTACATTATAAAATCTATGTAAAGTATAGGCATTTTAAAAAGATATGATAAAAATAATATAGTAAAACCTGCAAAAGCCAGAACCTATGTAAGGCAGAAACGTGTCAGAGAAGGAAAATTCAAATATTTTCCACTAGAACAAGCAATGGAAAAGTGGTAAGGCTGCGCCCTGTCAAAGGTGGAAAACTTGCGAGACCCGGAAAAACAAGGCAGTCCTGTTGATTTCTGGCATTCACAGGTTTCATTGTATTAATAGTGCTACTCGTATTTTTTTTTTTTTTAATTGTGCTTTAAGTAAAAGTTTGCGGAGCAAATTAGTTTCTCACTAAACAATTAATACACATATTGTTTTGTGATATCGGTTTGTGACTTAAAACAACACACATTTATTATCCCATAGTTTCTGTGGGTCAGGAGTCTGGGTGCAGCTTAGCAGGGTGCCATTGCCTCAAGGCCTCTCACAGGCTGCAGTCAAGGTGTTGCAGGGGGTCGGGGGGCTGAGGTCTCATCTGAAGGCTCAGCTGAGGGTGGATTCACATTCACGCTCACTAATTTGGTTGTGGGCAGGATTCCATTCCTTGCAGGCTGTTGGACTGAGGGGCTTAGTTCCTGCTGGCTATTGGCTGAGGCCTCCCTCAGTTCCTTGCCACATGGGCCTCTTCATAAACCAGTTGCTGTCAAGTCAGTTCTGACTCATGGCAACCCCATGCGTGTCAGAGTAGAACTGAGCTCCATAGGGTTTTCAATGGCTGATTTTTTTGGAAGTAGGTCACCAGGCCTTTCTTTAAAGGTGCCTCTGGGTGGACTTGAAACCAGCTGATCTCCATCGGAGGGAACAAGTGAAAGGGAGCAAGAGAAGGCAAGCAAGATGGAAGCCACAGTCTTTTTGTAACCTAATCTTAAATGCCATCCCATCACTTTTGCCATATTCTGTTTGTTAGAAGCAAGTCACTAGGTCTAGCCGTCACTCGGAGGGAGGGATCTACACAGGAACTTGAACGTCTTAGTTTTCTAGTGCTGCTGTAACAGAAGTACCCTAAGTGGGTGGTATTTCACGAACATAAATTTATTTTTTCACAGTTTGTTGTTGTCGTTGTGTGCCGTCGAGTCTTACTGCAGTCAGGGTAGTCTGTAATCGGCAGGATTGTGACAGGTGTTCTTTTTCACTCATCATTCCTTTCACTTTCTGACACCTCAGTGGTCCAGGCAACAGGGAAGGGTGGAACCAGACAGGGCCTGAGACCCCAGAACAGCTCACAGGAGCACAAGATGGGGCTGGATGTGTGCCAGCATTTAGAGGGGTCGGCCTGGGAGGTTGGGGCAGGTTCGCCAGGAGGGCTCTGGACCCCTTGTTCTGGGAGGCCAGGTCCAGCCCTCAGGAACCTTGGTGTCAGGGTCCAGCCCCTCAGGAACAGAGCCCACAACTGGAAAACCTCTCCGGACCTAGCTGAGTGTGTGTTGGGGGTGGGGGGGTGGGGGGGTGGAGCACATCTGTTTTTGGAGGGCCTCAGTTCCCACAACTGAGGGAGGAAGTGATTGACCGCCCCCGCATACTATGTGACTCCAAGCAAGTTGCCCTCCCTCTCTGGGCCTCCCCTCTGAAACGCCTACTTGTGGTTGACCTCGGTGAAGAGACTCAGGGGCAGGTACCAGGCCAGGGGTGTTGGTGCCTCCCACTCCCCCAGGGCTGGTACTGGCTGGGGGCTGGGACCGGGCTGGGCCCTGCCTAGATCTCACACCTGCTTCCACCTCGCAGGTCTTCTCCATCGTGGTGTTTGGCTCCATTGTGAATGAGGGCTACCTCAACAGCCCCGACGAGGCTGAGGAGGGCAAGGAGTTCTGCATCTACAACCGCAACCCCAATGCCTGCAGCTACGGTGTGACTGTGGGTGTGCTGGCCTTTCTCACCTGCCTGCTCTACCTGGCCCTGGATGTGTACTTCCCACAGATCAGCAGTGTCAAGGATCGAAAGAAGGCCGTCCTGTCGGACATTGGTGTCTCGGGTGAGCCCCTGCCCCACCCCTCAGCGTGAGGTAGTCTGCAGAGGACCGCCTGCCCATGATCTGCTGATCCTTGCTCACACCTGTGAGGCAGCTGTGCCTTCTCCCTGTTTTACAGATGAAGAAACTAAGGCACAGGCGGGTGAAGGGACAGACTCAGGGCCACATGGCTGGCAACAGGCAGCAGGGAACGGTGGAACCATGACAAGACAGGAGACCCCAGAATAGCCCCTGGGGAGGGAAGGGGAGTGCACACTGGGTCTGGGCTTGTGCCACGTCCAGAGATGTTACCTTTTGTTTCCATAGCCTCTTCTATGCCCCTGCCTGGTAGGGTCCTGTGAGAACTAAGCAAGGTGGTGATTGTATGGCCCTGGCACACAGCCAGACCTGGGGGATCAGTCAGGACCTGGGGCTCGGGAGCCGAGATGACCTGCCGACTTTTGCCCTCCAGAAATGGCCTTTGGCTGGGTGTCCTGACCTCTGCCCCCACAAGCTCCAGGACTCTGATCGGTGGATGCTTGGGCAGGGGGTGGAAGGGCCAGGACTTGGGTCTCCAGCTGGGACCTCCCCTCATTTCCAGGTCTGGGGCTTTCAGGATGAGCCTGACTGACAGCAGGCAGTGAGGCCTCGGCTTCCCCAATCCCAGTGAGCACCCCCTCAGGTCACGTTGCTCCTCAGCACCTGGGCGAACACTGAGTTTCTTGCAGCCCTGTTGCCAGGTGCTGGGACAAGCCTGGTGGGGGGGCAGGGTCTCTGCTTGCTCCTTCCAGAAGGACAGAGCAGAACCCAAAGCTGTTTCTGGAAAATTATTCTCTCTACAGACCAGAGTCCCTCCTGCCTGACATGGTGGGGTTGAGTGTGTTATGTTCCCATATTTGGCATAGAATTGTTTTCTTGGGCTCAGTCTTCCACCCTCTCTGGGCCTCAATCTCTTGTTTCTAGTTCAAAGGGCTTAGACTGAAGTCATAGTCCCATGACGCCCCAGGGGCCCCGGGAGTGCCTCTAGGAGGTGGGCTGGGCTCTAGGCGCCCCCCACCCTTGGCCCATGCACACTTCATGCTGAGTAGCTCTGGTTCTGGCTGGGCAGGCCTTGGTCACTCACAGGAAGACCAGAGGCTCCTACTACTACCCACCCGTACCTCAGCTCCCAGAAGACTCTGCACTAAACTTGAGGTCTTGGTGAGGCTACAAGTCAGTAGTCACGGCTCAGACCCACCCAGGTTGAGCTACCCCTTTGCCCCAGCCTCATCACCCCTCTCCCCTATTTCCTCGGGAGATTGCAGTAGGGCAGGGTTGGGGAGAAGCGGGGGAGCTCCTCCCTGGAGAGCTGTGGGCCCTGGGCCTGGACAGGGGGACCAAGTCAGGGTTTGCTGGGAGACGAAAGCTGGCCTCAGCTGACTGACTTCTCTCTCTCTCTCATACCCTGTGTCTCCCTCCTTCCTCCCTGCTCACTGCCTGCCCTCCCTGGCCCTCATCCGTCTTCTCCCTGTGGTCTCCCCACTCTGCACCTCACTCATTTCTTGGTTCTCACTGCCCCTTCCCTTTGTTCCTCCTTCCCCCCCAACCTTTGACCTCTTCTTTTGGGGGTGGGGTAACGTGGGAGACCACTCTGAACGTCTCGTTCCTCGGCCCCCCCTTCTCTCCCTGCTCACCCCCTCTCTGCATGTACATGTGGTCCTGCGGACGCCCCCAGCCTTCTGGGCCTTCCTCTGGTTCGTGGGCTTCTGCTTCCTGGCCAACCAGTGGCAGGTCTCCAAGCCCAAGGACAACCCGCTGAACGAAGGGACTGACGCGGCCCGGGCGGCCATCACCTTCTCCTTCTTCTCCATCTTCACTTGGGTGAGTGCAGCCACCCACCGAGCCACACTCATCTGCTCCTAGTCGAGCCCCCTGGGCCGGTGGCCTTTCAGCATAGCAAGGATTGGCATCTGTTTGCCCTTGCACCTTTCTCAGTCTACTTGCTTCTGCAATGGGCAGCGCAGTGCTTCCTCCCTGGGGAAGGAGACCACTGCCATGGCCATCGAGGGCAGTCGCTTGGTGACAGCAGACCCTCACTTTGGTACAAAGCAGCCTTCCTGTGGGCCATGGACGCCCTCAACCACTCTGGGTGGTTGGTATTTATTATCCCCTTTTACAGACAAGAAAGCTGAGGCCTAGACAGGAAGCTGAGGCCTTCAAAGATTCCAGGCTGGGAAGGAGCCCGGGCCTGGAGTCAGGAAACCTGGACCACATCCTGGGCTGCCCCTAATTCTCCAGGCCTCAATATTCCCATCTGTAAATTGGGGGCTTCGATTTGGGTATGTATGCAGGGGGTCATAAACTCAGATGCCCACAGGGCCAGGCAGGATGTGAGGATGGGTGAGGCAGGCCAGTGGCATGGGCTTGCCCGTCCAAAAAGGGCACCCTTTGCTTGGCTCCTGGTGCCCGCAGGAATGGGGACCCCCATGGCCAGAGAAGCCAGAAATCTGAATTGTTAGGTGAAGTCTGATCTTTACACATTGGCCATTTATTCAAGTTAAAAACAGTAATGTGAGGGCCTGCAGCCTGACTGCAAGGCTGGCCCCTCCCTCTCACTGGTTCTAGCCAATCTCCTTGTCTTTCTTCTTCTCGCCCAAACTCTGGCCTGCAGAGATCTGGGGTCACTCAATTCCAGGCCCTCCCTTCCCGCAAGGACATCCCTTGGTCCTTGGCCCAGCCTTCTACAAGGAGGGGGCCTCGGCCCTCCATGAAGCTGCGATACAGCCAGCTCTCCCTGCTCCCCTATCCTCCTGAGCCCACCCTGGGGTGACTTCTTCCTCTTCAAGGCTCCCTGTATATCCATTTTCCTTGGTGTCCCCCGCTTCCATATTGGGAGCTAAAGTATAGAGGGGCCTGTGGTTCAGTCCCTGGCAGGCCAGCTGTGATCACTTTAGCCCCTGATGCCCTCAAGGCTGGGTAGGAAAAACCAGATGACTCCAGGGGGTCTCAGGCCAGAGAAGGTGCCCGGAGTGGGGACCACCCAGCCCTACAGGGAGGAGTTTGGGAGCTGTGCACACTGAGATGAGGGCAGGGAGGCTCACGGAGGCTGGTGGATGATTAGACACCAGCATTTCCAGGAGTGAGCCTGAAGGTCCTTGACTGACAGGCCCCTGCCCCACCTGCTGAAGCCAGCCTCCTACTGGCACCTCTGCTGGCCTCACCTCCACTCTCTCCTGGCAGAGCCTGACCGCAGCCCTCGCCGTGCGGAGATTCAAGGACCTTACCTTCCAGGAGGAGTACAACACGCTGTTCCCCACCTCGGCACAGCCGTAGGCCTCTGGGCTTGTAGGAGCAGGAGCCCTGTGTCACGCCTCGTGGCCAGGTTGCAGGGGCAGCCTAGTGCCTGGAATGCATTTACCCCCAGAGGGCCAAACAGCCAGGACGCCAGGGCTGGAGGGCCGGCTTGAGGAGCCGGGTCATACTGACCACTCACTCACTCATTCATCACCTCCTTTGTGTGTTCTTAGTGTGTTCGTTCACTCAGTAAACATTTATTGAGCAGCTGGCTTGTGCCTAGTGGTGAATCAGACGGGGTCCACGGCCCAGGAGCCCATGGGCTGTTAAGGGGTCGGAGGTGGCTCCACACACGGGCTGCCAGGGGTATTGAAGGTCCGAGGGGCTGAGATATGGACACTGACGACCCATCCCGTGGCCGTGGCATGAAGGATGGTCTTCACAGTCCCCGTGGAGACTGGCTGCCAAGGGAAGCCTGGCCTAGGAAGTCAGAGGGCCCCAGCCTGCTCTGCTCTTGTGTGCTGTGTGACCCTGGGCAAACCTCTGCACCTCTCTGAGCCTCAGTCCACATCCTGTAGGGGGTGATAATGGTGATGACGGTGAGGATGAAACAAAGCCCGGCACAGGGTTTGGCACAGGAATGCTCAATAAATGTAAGCTCTTTTGTTCATTCATTCATTTATTCATTCTCTCTGGGGAGTCAGGGGTAGCTATATAACCTCTACTTTGGGGATGATTCTCATGTGGGGAATCTTTGCTCTTCCAGAGGCCTCTGGCCCCCAATTCTACACAGGTCCCCTCCTTGGGACCCTCAGCTGCCTGAGCAGGAACCTATGCATACCTCTGCTCTCTGCAGGAGTCGAGGAGGTAGTGGAGCAGAAACAGGCCCCCAAAGCAACTCCTCAGCCTTGCTAGGGGCTGAGCACACAGGCAGTGAGCTTCCCAGCACTGGAAGCATACAAGCACAGACTGCTTGCTGCACAGTGGAGATGCTGCAGAGAGTATACCTGCTCTGTGGGTAGCAGGAGCAGGGACCCACCAGATCCCTGGGCTCTGAGCAGAACACCCAGCCTCCCCTTGGCACTGCAGCCCAGCAGGGGCTCATGTCCCTCTTTTCCTCCTGTCTGGTGGCCCCTTGAGCTAGTTGGCCAAGGTGGGCCTTGACTTAGCGGGGGCTGAGGAGTGACCACAAGGACAGCACTAGGTGCCGGTAGCCAGAGGCCTTTCCCTGGCAGGGTCCACAGAGGTCTGCCTCCTGCAGGAAAGCAGCCTGGACAATGAAGCCAGGGAGCTCTGGGAAAAGTGAGTCTGCAGACCTTTCATTCATTCCCTAACTGCCCTTGTGGGCTTGCCAATGGCTCAGGGTGCCTAAGACGTGGCCTCTGCCCAGGGGAGCTCACTGCCTCCCCTGCTTCTCAAGGCTCCAGTATCTGAGCCCTCACCAGCCAGGACCTCATACCAACCAAAAACACCAAACTCGTTGCCGTCGAGTCGATTCTGACTCACAGCGGCCCTATAGGACAAGGTAGAACTGCCCCATAGGGTTTCCAAGGAGTACCTGGTAGATTCGAACTGCCGACCTTTTGGTTAGCAGCCAAACTCTTAACCACTACACCACCAGGGTTTCCCTCATACCAACATAGCGGAAAAACCCAAGGGGGCTGCACTAATTTCCTGCAGCCCGACTTCTTCAGGCCTGGTCTGCTTTTCCCAGGCTCCAACACTTGGCTTTAAATAGCCACTTCCCAGAAAGGGCTGCCCCTCAGCACTTTCTTAAATCAGCACAAATAAAAAACTAATGCCTAGTCACTGGGCTTCTGGAACTTTCTGGAATGAAACACCAAGCACTCTTCTCTCCATAGCTTTTATCAGGTGACCCTTGGGGGTTCCTGATTAACTTGGTGCCTTGTCAGGAGATTGATCAGTGGGGGCAGGACCCCCACATCCAGGTCTGGACTCTGGCACAGACTGCCGTGGGTCCCACCCTCTAGGCCTCAGTCTCCCCAGCCCCAAAACGGGGTGGGTAGGGCATCAGCATTTTCCCATCACAGGCGGGTTTCATTGGGCTGGAATGCTTCCTGGGGAAGGCTGTGATTGTGAACCTATAAACTCTGTAATGATTCTTATTGACGAAGGTCACTTGCTCCCTAGCTCAGTGTGGTCAGTGCCATTGTCCTCAATAACAATGTAATTGCTTTTATCAAAAAAGAATTTCCTAATTATGCATGGATGCTAGAGACAAGTCTTTCCCAAACTGAGTTCCATGAAACAATGGTGTCTGTGGTTGGAGAAGGTTGGCTAATGGTGCTTGCCATAGTTTCCCCCTTTGGAGATTCCCAGCATGCACTAAGTAGCCAAGGCTCTGACAAGTCCGGTGGTTCTGCAAACTATTTCACTCTGTTTAACTCAACTTCCCAAACTTCTTTGACCAAGTGTTTTGGTTAGAATTAGATTTAGTCACAAGTGATGGAAATTCCAAATCACGGTGACTTAAACGAGGCCTTGGTCTGGCGAGGCAGCCCAGGGCTGACCTAGCGGCTCCAGAAGTCTTCAGTGACACAGGCCTCTTCCATCTCTACAATTTGGCCTGTGTCTTCGTGGTCCAGTGTGGCAACTAGAGCTCCAGCCATCACAGCCGCATTCCAGGCATCAGGTTGGAGGATGAAATGAAGAACATGGGTGCCCCATTGGCCAGAGCTTAGTCACATGACCATGCCTGGCTGCAAGAGAGGCAGAGAAGAATGGCTTTTAGGAGATGCGAACAGTTCTGTGTCCCACCGAGAAATTCTTTTTCTCCATTCTGCGTAACACCCCTGAGAACACAGCTTGAGAAGGATACTGCAGGCCTTTGGGCCATTTTAAGACTCCACAGTGGAGGGTCTAGACTTTTTGGTGGCGCATAGTGACCACTGGGATTGGGGGGCATTGGAGGGTGACTGCTGAGGCTCTTTCTGGCTGGTCAGTGTGTCTGGTCCCCTGGCGAGTGTTGCAAGGATGGCCTTCTTTGTCCTTGGTCCAGCTTGGTTCTTTGAGGATCTTTAACCCTGTATTGCCTCTGTCCTGTGAACTGTCACTAACCCAGTATTCTTGTCTGTCTCTCCCCTAACCATCCCCACCCGCCTGTCCTTGTCCCTGCCGGCCCTTCCCCAGGTGGGCCAGGCTGTGCTGGCCTTCCAGCGGTACCAGATTGGCGCCGACTCAGCCCTCTTCTCCCAGGACTACATGGACCCCAGCCAGGACTCCAGCATGCCTTACGCCCCCTACGTGGAGCCCAGCGCTGGGCCAGACCCTGCCGGCATGGGCGGCACCTACCAGCAGCCAGCCAACGCCTTCGACACCGAGCCCCAGGGCTACCAGTCACAGGGCTACTGAGCCTCAGTGACCGCCTGCCCCTGCCTGCCCCTGCCCCACCTACCCCAAGCCCCTCCCTCCACAGCCAGCTCCCTGCTCCCGCCCAGGCCGCCCTGCCCAGTGCCTCCTTAGCCTCGGAGTTGTCACACTGAGTTCCAGCGGGGCTCAGGGTGGGGTGCAGGCAGCAAGGTGTTGGGGAGGTGTCTGTGTGTGTACAAGTATGTCCAAGGGCATGTGCCCAGCAGGGGCTTGGAGGGTGGTGACTAGGGGTGCTTGCATTCATTCATTGCATCACTGAGCATTCAGTGAGCACCTACTGTGTCAGGCCTGTGCTTGGTACACAGGTGATGAAGGAGGCAGAAGTGGTCCCAGATGGGGGAAGATGAGGAGGAGGTGCCATGGGCACCAGAGATGAGAACGAGGCGAATGACAGACCTGGGAGAGCTAGAGGGGTGTGCTGGGACGGTTTGGCTATGTTGCAGGGCAAGTGCGAATACCCACGGGACACGGGCTGTCACCTGCAGAGCCTTCTCGATTCTCAGCAGTCCTGCTAGGAGAGTTAGGGGCTTCCCTAGTCTATGATAGGGGAGGAAACTGAGGCCCGGGGAAGTCAGGGTCACTCGCCTGGGGTCACTCAGGCAGCCAGTGAGGGCCAAGACTGCACAGCCCCTGCTCTGCCTGTCCTCCCCACCCCAAGTCTGGGGCTGCGCTGCTCCATGTAACGTCATTTTGGAAGGCCTCAGGGGCCTCAGCCCCGTAAGACACCCTGACTGCTGACTGCTGCAAGCAAGGACCTGTCCCGCCCCAGCTGGGGCAGCCTTGCCTCCGGGCCCCCTTCCCACATCCCCAGTGGCCCCTCCCGGCCCTTGGCCTTCCTCCCAAGGTGGTGGAACTGAGAGTCCCCCCTTGGCTCCTTCCTTTTCCTGTGTGTTGCTCCTTGCTCTGCATGTCCCATGGGAAGCTCGTTCCCAGGAGCTCAGGGGACCCCCCCCCCCCGCCACTTTGCGGCCTTTGAAGGGCTGAGCACTGTCCCTGCATCTGGGCTGGCGTTCTGAGTACAGGGCCTGGATGGCTGAGGAGGCCCAGGAGGAGGGAGGGGCTGGCCCAAGAGCACCGCGAGTGACGCCCAGCCCTCCAGCAGGTGACCCAGTTCCCCACCTTTGTGACCTCCCAGGAAACAGAACCTGCTCTGGAACGTTGTTACTTCTGGGGGCTGGCTCCTGGTGGGGGCAGAGTGCAGAGCACTGGGGCTTTGGACCAGCCAGGCCAGCACAGGCCTCTGTGTCCCCAGCTGCAAGCTGCTGCTGTGGGGATACGTGGCCCCTGGGATGACATAGGTGGGAGCTCCTGTACATAGTAGCCTTGGGGGAGGCCGTGGATGCAGGGGAGAAGGCAGCAGGAGTCCCCAAGGGCACAAAGAGGACTGTGGGGGCCCGCGGGGGCAGGCAGGGATTCTTGCACAGGTGGGCACTTAACTGAGCCTTAGGGGACGGGGAGACCTGGAACAGGTGCAGAGGGGCGTGAGGGAGCAGTGTGGCCAGGCCTGGGAGAGGCCTGGGGCCCATCCTCCTGTCTGCCCAGTATCCACACCTGTCTCCAGAGCGCTTGGGGCTGCTGATTGAGACCTGTGAGGAGATCACAAGGGATTGTGGGTTGGGCATGGTGCTGGCTATTTCCACCACCATCCCCCTATCCTCCCTTCACAAGAACCCAGAGAGGCAGGTAATACTCACCTGCTCATTCATTCAGGAGACCGTTATCGGGCACCTGTGCTGGGTGCTGGGTGCTGGGCATGGTCTCTGCCCTCATGGAGTCTGTGAGGGAAGATGAGCGCTAAACAACTGTACAACAGTCCATTGTAGGTGTACATGCTGTCCAGGTGCACTGCGGGGCCGAGCTCCCTTGAGGACAGCCCTAGGGATGGGCAGGAGTTAACGCAGCACTGAGGGAAGAAGGGACATCCTGGGCAGAGAAGTAGCATTGCATCCCCATTTCACAGGAGGGGAAGCTGAAGCCGAGGGAGCGTGAGTTAGTGGTGGAGCATGTGTCTGAACTCAGGTCTGTTCGAGGCCCGAGGACAGCAGGGACAGTACAGGGCCTCAGACAGCCAAGTGACCTCTGGTTGTTTCTGACTTCCGTTTCCTAAGTCTGGGGAAGGAGCTCTGTCCATGGTTCTCCGTCTCCCGGTGGCCCAAGGGGACCCAGATGGGACTGGGTGCTGCCAGCCTCAGCAGTGGAGTCTGAACCAGACCAGAGGTTTCTGAAGCCGCTGAGGGTGTGAGTGGGCGTGAATGTTGCTGGCAGGGTGCGGGTCTGTGCCCACCTGCAGGAGGCTGTGCAAGCCCCCTTGCTCATTCCCCACCACAAGCCTCCCCTGCCCATGGGCATGAGGAGACCCCAGGGTGCTGCCCACCTGCTGCTTCTGGGGCACCAACCAGCTGCTTGCGGATCACGCCTTCTGCAGGCCTCAGTTGCTTCTCCTGTGTAATGGGGTAATGATGTAATGGGGCCATAGGGCAGGGTACCCGTTAAGCTTCACCCAGTCCCTGAGTGTTTATTACAGACCCTCCTGCTCCGCCCCCCCCCAGACTGGAAAAGGCTATAAGATCTCCCCCCTGCAAGGAGTGGACTGGCACCAAGTCATAAGCGTCCCCCAGTCTTCTTGGGGTACAGCCCAGATGCCGTCCCCACATGCTCCCACCGTCGGGCTGGGCACTGGCAGGGTTGTGGTGGAGATAAAAGCACACAGAGAGGGCAAGAGATGTCTGAGGGCACGCAGCGCAGTGCAGCAGGTGGGGGCAGGGTTTGGATGAGATCCAGGGCTCCTGACTGCTCTTCTGGGAGGTTAATGGAGGACACTCCCCGGAACCTCAAGCTCAGAGCCTACGCTCATGGGCAGCGGTACCCCCTCTTTCCTCCCACTGCCCGTTCTGCCAATCTCTTGCTCCCAAGCCTTTCCCTGGAGAAGCACCCCTGCACCCTGGCCCTGCAGAGTTTGGGTCTCTTCCCCCTCCATCCCCCCACCAAGCACAAGAGAGGGCCCGGGACACCCGGGTTCCACACAGAAAGGACCCTTAGGGACTATGGAGTCTGGGTGCAGGACAATGACTTGTCCAAGGTCACAGTACAGAGCTGGGGGGTTGGGAACCAGGTCTCCTGCCTTCCAGGTTGACACTCTTCTCACTCACAGTGTAGCCCCTTGTTCAGCTCTGCTGGGGGTGTAACCATTGAGAGACTAATTCCCAGGGGACCAGTATTGGTTCCCCACTCCATGCTTCCCTGGTGATTCTTGATCTTCAAAGACTTGGGGGCTCCAACCTTCCCCCATGTAAAAAGAGCCCTGACTTGTTACTCCTTGGGGACCCTCCCAACCTTAATCCAAGACCCCTTTGATTCTCCAAGGAGCACGAAGGGGGCACACCCCTTCCAGGAGTTTATGGGAGGTTGGACTGGTCCAGCCATCTCCCAACGCTGCCGCTGACTGACACCCCATCCCCGGGTGTCCATAGCCCTTATCTGGGTGCCCCGGCCCTTCCTGCAGCGTTACTGCCTGTGTATAGTATAAATATATATATTTTCTATATATATAAGATGTATAATATAAGTCTCCACAAATATATCTCTGTGTGTGTGCGGTGAAGGGCGGTCCCACCCAGACCCCTACTCTAGACTCCCCCACCGCCTAATGCAGTCTCTCAAGAGTGAATCCAGTGGCCCCGTGGCACCCTCGTCCATGACATCCATCCATTTGTGGTGAACCAAGTGAAGGTGGTGACTTCTGGTGACATACTAATAAAGTGAAGACCCTCAAAACCCACTGGGGGATTGCAGGTGTGTCCTGGTGTGTCTCTTTTCTTTGTGAGTGTGGCTTGGAATTGTCCATCCCCAATGTCTTCCCTGACCTGGACCATATTTCATTTGCTTGTTATTGTTTAGTAAGTTTTTAATTACACCAAAAAGACCTATAAAAACACTTTTTTAGAAAATAAAATCATTACATTTGAAGCCAAAGCCCCCAGCACACATACTGACACCATGACCATTCCCTGGCCTGGCCCCTTCCTCAATCCCCAGAGGTAACCAGGATTAGGAGCTTGGCCTGTTTCCTTCCAGGCCATATCCATGCTCATACATACGTAAGTGTACAGGACCTGTTCTTAGTTTGTAACTCTGGGCTGACGTAGTATTTATCCAGAGCCTTTAAATGCCAGACACTGCTAAGTCCCAGAAATTCAACATCGAACAAGATGGACACAGTCCCTACCCTCGCCTATCCAGGGAGGTGGATCTTAAACAAACATACAAGTAAAAATAGAAGTTGTAATAAGGGCTGGGGTGGGGCAAGAGAGAATGTCAGAAGATAGGATTTAGGCCACGGGCTCAGAGCCTGCCAGCCCTCGGATCAAACGGGTTAGGCGGCAAGCGGTGCGCTGGTGAACCTTCTAGAGAGGAACCGGAACTCAGAGGTTCCCGGACAGTGAGGAGCTTGGGAGTGGCAAAGTGCGCTGGTGAACGTTCTAGAGAGGAACTGGCAGAAGTTCCCGGACAGTGATAAGCTTGGGAGTGGCAAAGGGTGATGGAGGTATAGGGGGAGAGGAGAATGAGGAACAGGCCAGAGGATACTCTGGTCACACCCTGCAAGGAGTTTGGGTTCATTCTAAGTGATATGGGAAACCACTGAAGGGGGGGGTGCCATCATGGCACGTGCTTCAAATAGACTACTGGTGGACCACATGGCAGTTAAGAGGCTGTTGCCCATTGCTCAGACAGGATGGTCACCATGGCAATGGAAGAGTGGACAGAGCCAAGATATATTTGAAGAAAGCCAACTGGATTTGCTGATCGACTGAATGAAGGGGGTGAGATAGGCTTAAGAATGACTCAGGTACACGAACGCTTGAGCTCAGGCCTCTGTATGGACCTGTCAGTCACGGTGCTTGCTCGTCCACACCCAATCAGTCTGAAAGTCCTGCCCTAGTCCCCGCCCAGGGAAGGGCCACTAGGCCTCAGATTGGACAGAGGTGAACACCTGATCCAAAAGCTGGCCCTCTATAGGCTGGTGGATTCACTGTATCTTGCGGGGCGGGGGGGGGGGGCCCTGATGACTAAGCCAATCAGGTTACTTCCCTCCGGGATGGGGCAGAGGGATTGGCTGCAATTCCTTGCAATCAAAAGAGCCCACCCACCAGCCTAGAGCTCCCAAACCTGTGGCTGCTGCCCACCACAAGGGAAACAGACACCTATGATGCAGTGGCCTCCGGGTCCCAACCCCAGGTCAAGCCACCTACCCGGGTCAGCCAATGCAAAATCGCAACTAATTTTTTTGGATAATTTTTAATTTTGAAAGGATCTTTCTGCTG